TTTTTGATGTTAAGATGACCTCTCAGTTATGTATCTATATTCAGTTATAGTTATAATTTTTATAGTATAATTTTCATATCATATACATATTTAGAGAATACAACTAGCCACATGTATAACTTTTGATTTAGTAATAATACCCAATCGAAAAAATGCTATTTAGTTATCTGACAGGTATATCTGGCAGGTTACCCAGGTGATCAACAGATTTATTCAAATATAAAATCCTATCTAATATATCTGGTAAGGTTAATTCTTTTACTTTACTAGATAGCTGCACAACATTACCGGAACAAAAAATCTAAAAAAAGAAAACAGCTAAAATGTAAGAATTTGTGTCTAACTGATTATTTTATCTTCAACATGTTAATTTATACTGATTTTTATCGATATGCAATATATCCATTAAGTAATTATCTAAAAAAAAATTAATATTTAATCAAAATATAAAGATCTACAAAAATTATTTAAGTCAAAACCTTGCTAAATAACTCTTTCATATTGTTAACCATTTTAAACAAAAAAATTTCAAAATTTTCAAATTATTAACACTAAAATCACAATGTTTATATTAAAATCTGTTGACGTTAATTTTGGTGTAGTCGTGTTTATATAAAAATTGCACTAGACCATTAATAATACAACAAATTGTGTAACTGATAGTACATCAAACACCCTACAGTCACGTTTAAATCAATAAAATAAGGGAATTGCTACCGACACAACAAAACACGTGCTTATCGACACAGCAAGTGACCAGCACTAACCTTAACGACACAGCATGGCCGGTACTATATTTAAGGTTAGTGTTAGAATGTAGCAGAATTAGGAATTATGTCACGTGTTTGCTGTGCCGGTAGCAATTCCCTAAAATAAATCTTAAAAATTTCACCCCCGTGGGTAGGTACGTACTAGGAAAAAAAACTAGCTAGTTTTTAATAAAAATTTTATAATACCAGGTGATATCACCACGGGTGAAAATTAGTTATTCTCAATAAACCCACAAAATCGCACAAAATTGCACCACAATATTTACCGCCACAAACTTGCACAATATTGCTTTAAATTGATCACCTTATCTCGCCACAAAATTTATGTTATCCCGCCACAAAAAATCATCGTCCCGCTGCGGATTCAGCAAATTCGGCAAAATTCACCGCAGAATTCGCAATTGCAGAATTCCGGATAACCTAATTACAAGTATTAAGTAGGCATATTGTAAAGTACATCTTTTTTTGTACGTACGTACGTACGTACAATGAACCTTGACACTATTCTAAAACTATAGATGGCTTTTGAGGCGCTTTTTTATTAAAAAAAGTACTGGTACTGTAAATCATAAATTCGTTACGTATCCGAGCAATTGATTTACATCAGCCAATCAATTTTCACTAATGTTAAATGATGTGCGTGCATGCATGACATAGATACCATATTATCAGTCTTCGATTCATATCTTAAGAATGGCAGACGAAGAATACGAAAGTGTACTGTTAGTATTGCGAGAATGTTATGGTAAATGAGGAGAAAATTATTAGAATTTGCCATATATAAAACACTTAATAAGTCAATACTTTGCTCATTTTTAGTCTATAAAATTCCACCAAGAACGTCAAGCAGAGAGTATAGGTATGAGCTATTCTCATTAAACCTCATATTAACTTCCCTTATAATGAACCATGTTTCTATTAGGGCAGCGGAATGGGGTGATATGGAAGCTTTTTTATGGAAAGGTCGATTAAGAATTATGGCTGTGGGAGAAAAATGTTTTATTAGATTAGAAGATGGTAGTACTGGTATGAACTAGTGCTCTATTTTCTTTGTACATTCATCCATTGAATAATTGGGTTGAATTACTTATATAGTTACAAAAATGCGACATACGCATTTATAATATTCTAGGTGAATTATTTGCACAATGTCTGTATGATCCAGATACTAATTCCGTTGAACCAGTACGTGATTCTTCAAGATATTTTGTTTTACGTATTGAAAATACTGATGGTAATGGTTTATTTCTTCATGATAACGTTTGTCACATTTGTTACATAATTTTTTTTTTTCGGAGGGATACCACATGCATACTTAAATTATTTATGTATATTGGACAACTCAGTATTTGAACATAAATTACGTAATAAATGTCACTTCCTAATAAGGTCCTTTTTAAAAATAAAAGAATAATAGCTTTGATCAATTGTAACGACAGGTAGGCGTGCGTTCATAGGCATAGGATTTCAAGAGCGTTCAGAGGCATTCGATTTTCAAGTAACATTACAGGATCATATTAAGTGATTATAGAATTTAGTATTCTCTGTATCTGTTTCTCTAATTAATAAAATAGTATTGAAGTATCTTTTTTTTTTTTTTTTTTGTTCTTTTTTGAGACATTTAAAAGCAGAGAAAGAAGCGGCTGAGCGCGCCAAAATTTCTGCATTGACACCGAAAAAAGATTATAGTTTAAAAGAGGGTCAAACAATTAGCATTAACCTCAGTCATGTAAGCTACTCCAATATTCTACGAAGTTTATTTATTTGTTTAATATTAACAAATTTTGATTAAATGTAGCATAAATCAAAACATTCAAGACCTCAATCAGTAGATCATATTCCAATATCTGAAGAAACTGGAGGTTAGAAAAAAATAAAAAAAATAATGATTTACTTATTCATTAATCCATCTATTCAGTT